CTTCATTTCATTCATTGGATCCTCAATCGCTGATACTCTTTCTTCCAGTTGATCGAGTCGGTTACTGAAGCTTGTTCATTTGTCACGTATTTCTCGTGTCATGGTTTTCATCTCTGTCCGTTTGTTTATGGCCTTCTCTGGCGTGGGATCCTCCCGGCCAGGTGTGGGATATAATCTCCTGGTGTGCCCGTTTGCTTAAAGCGCAGTATTGGGGTGGGAGTTACCCAATTTTCCAGGTGTTGTGTGTCTCAGTTCCCCTGGCTAGGAAAAGGGATTCCCTTCCCCCTTGCGCTTCCCAGGTGAGGCGATGCCTTGCCCTGCTTCAGCTCTCGCTGGTCGGGCTGCAACAGCTGACCAGCACTGATTGTCCGCCACTCCCCAGTGAGATGAACCCAGTACCTCAGTTGATAATGCAGAAATCACCTGTCTTCTGTGTCGCTCGCGCTGGGAGCTGGAGACTGGAGCTGTTCCTATTCGGCCATCTTGCTCTGCCTGTGCAAGCACTATTAAAGAGTGGTTGCTGAGTTCCTGTCTCTGGGTCCTGTCTCAGGGACCTCCTGACATTTGCCCAAGGGTCTGTTTTTTTCACATTGTCTGTGTTACCATGGTCTTTGAAATTTCTTTGGCAGGGCCAAAGAAGAATAGGAAAATCAAGTGGGGATAGAGAAGGTGACCCTTTGGTCATGAAAGGCTCCATGTTACCAGAGAGGCAGCATCTGTGCAAAATGCTTTCCTGAAGTGCTAGCCAAGTCCACTCTTGGCTTCTGCAGACAGTGGCCTGGGCTGGAGGTGCAGCATCCCTAATGTCTTGCTTCTAAGCTAATTTCAAACATGGCACTAGTAATACTTTACCTCGTATGTGGATGTTTTGAAAATTAACGTAACGTTTGTGAAGCACTTAACCTGGTGTAAGGTAAGAAGTGCTCGTAACCTGTAAGCTGTGTTCTCCTTGACTCTGTGGCTGTGTAGTAAATCACTATAAACGTAGCAGACTGAAACAGCACACCCTTATTACTGCACAACTCTGTAGATCTCGAGTCTGGGAAAGCTCATTTGGATTCTGGGATCAGGGTCACTTCATGAGGCTGAGATTAAGCAGTGGGCTGGACTGCGTTCTCACCTGGAGCTTGGAGTCCTCCTCCAAATTGATTTGGGTTGTTGGCAGAATTCGGTTTCTTGTGGTTGTAGGACTGAGGTCCTGCTGGGATTGCTCTTTGTGCCTGCAGACCACGCTCAGTGCTGGTCACATGGTCCTCTCATGTGGCTGCTATTAATACTATTTCAAAGCCAGCAGGAGAATCTCCAGTCTGCAAGGGCAGAGCCTTAGATAACACACCATCTTGATGAATGTTCTGTGATCGTGGGAGGGGTCATCCGATATTCACAGGGTCCTGCCCACTGGAGAGGAGGGGATTATGCAGGGTGTGTTTTCTGAGGGGTGCACTTCTCAGGGCCATGGTTGCGTTCTGCCTTCCACACTCCCAAACTCACCACGAACCTCACCAGAGTGCTGAGGACGCCTGTCTTTGCACACTCACGAGAGGAAACAGTCCCACCTCTTCTATTACTGTTAATTGTCTGAACTCCATCCACCCTAAAAGCAAGAAGTCCTTCATCTCCGTCGACTGCTCCCTTCTCTTCCACACACATAGGCACACACACATTGATCAACCGAGACCAGTGAGATTGTAGGGGAAGGCCTGGGGGAACTGCAGAAGGTACTGTCTGTGCAGGGCTCTGGCCTGCAGAGCTCCCATACTCATCTCCAGCATGCAGCTGTGGAACCAGGGGCACTAGGGCGGAGTGGCCAGCATTCCCCTGTCCCGAGTGCTGAGACCCTGTGCCAGCTTCCTTCACTGGCAGACTGGATTCCTGCATGCTCTCTGTTCAGACATCATGTCCTCCCTGAGCATGCTGCTGCCTTGTGCTCTCAACCTGCCAGTGCCGGCTCCATTTTTCACCACAGAAGAACTTATTACCATCTAACACAGTTTATGTTTTCTTGTTTACTATTTTCTCTCCCTTCTAGAGAGAAAGCTCCTCCCCAGCAGGATTTTCCTCTGGGTTTTCCCTGCTCCACCCTCAGGAAAGCACAAAGCAGGCTCCTGGAAGCCCCTTGGTGGCTGCTTGTTGGATGCATGAAGTGTCAGGAGTGCAAGTGGCACGATCTTGGCTCACTGCAACCTCTGCCTCCCAGGTTCGAGCAGTTCTCCTGCCTCAGCTCCCCGAGCAGCTGGGACTACAGGTGCACACACTATGTCCAGCTAATTTTTGTATTTTTAGTCGAGGCAGGGTTTCACCATGTTGGCCAGGCTGGTCTCGAACTCCTGACCTCAAGTAATCCACCCGCCTTGGCCTCCCAAAGTGCTGAGATGACAGGTGTGAGCCACTGCACCCGGCCAGGACCAGCAGCATTCTTGAGCACTCATTTAGGTAACTCTCAGTGGGAGCCACTGGGAGCATCTCGTGGAAATCACAACACTTTGGGTACCGGGTAGGAATTCACGTTCATGGGCCAGGGGAAGACTGGACATGAATGCTGCCATATTGTCTGTGGAATGGCGTGGGGGTGGAGTGGGGAGGGAGTGTCTCTCAGACCAGTTTGTCCTTGAAACGATAGAGGATTTAGCGCCGTTGGGTGCAGGGTGTTTACAGAGAGGCAGCACCACGTCCAGGAGCCTTGGGCCTACTGCGTGCACAACCAGGGAAGGGCAGCTTCGAAGCTTGGTTCTGCTGAGTTCCAGGCTGCCGTTATCTCACTTTGCATCTTAACTAGTTTTCTACACATACTTCTCTACATAAAACAAGCCTATTTGTACTGCAATAATCTACGCATTCAGTGCCCAAGACCTTGGACTGAATTGTGTATTTCTCCCAGCTACTTTTTTTTTTAAAAGAAAAAAAAACTGGCAGGAACCTAGATCACAATTAGGTAAAGGTTTAATATTATAGAGAAGTGGTCCTCACCACATCCCTGCCAATCCATGGCCGCTTGGGCTTGAAACGCTCCAGTGAAAACGTCTCTGTAAAACGGAAGGGTTTGCACTTTCATGGCATCTTCTCTCTTCAAGGAGGACTTGGGGTTGGGGAAGGGCAGGGAAGTCGAGGGCACGGAGTGCCTCACCCGAGACCTGCGCAAGGGCCCATGCTCAGGCAGCTCTCTGGGAACAGCTTCTGAGAACACCCCCGAGAGCTATGCCCTGCCAGGGGCCCGGAAACCTCAGACACATTGGGGGATGAGGGGAGGGAGGCAGCATGAGCAGTAATAGAACCATCAGCACTTTATGTGGTGATAAAGGCCTTAAAACGTAAATCAGTGCTGTGCAGGGCCCCTGCGGTTCCACCTGCTTTGCTGATGGAGAAACTGAGGCTCGCCAGAAGTCCCACAGCTAGTAAGTGGCAGGACCAGGACCGCACCTGCAATTTATCTAACTCCGCAACCTCTGCTTTTAGCCTCAGTGGGTGTGGTGGGATATTTCCATCTTTTCCCCATAGTCGGGGACTGAAAACAGCAGAGATGAGCACCACATGGGTGCTGGGCTCCTGCGGAGCCTCCCCTCCCAGCAGCATTCCTGGTAGGCTTAATGCCCGTCTTTGGTTGTGCCACCTCCCAGAAGGAATCCATTGGGATTTGGCACACAGGATGCTTGGTAAATGGGAATCCATTGGGATTTGGCACACGGGATGCTTGGTAAATGCAGGGCCACAGGCTGATGTCAGTCTGTTCTGCTGGTTGTGTGAAATGCAGTGGAGGCAGTTCTGTCCTTTTTGCTCTTAATGATTTGTTCCTTCAAGAATGATTACATTGAAGCCCAGCCTGGGCCACACGGCTGGTCCGGTGGCTGCTTCCAACTCAGTGCTGACCAGCCTGTGCCTCTCTCCACAGATGCCGCTCCTACGAGGACTGCTGTGGCTCCAGGTGCTGTGTGCGGGCCCTCTCCATACAGAGGCTATGGTACTTCTGGTAGGTCACACCTCCTCCTTGCTCCCTCTTTGCTCTCCACCCCGAGAGCTCTGCCTGCCTGCCAGTGTTGTCACAGCCTTGGATGTGACACCTTCGCTTGGGTGGTGGCCTCAAGGACAGCCTTGGTCAAGAAAATGGGTATGTTTGGGTTGGCTTCATAACCGGCAATTGCACACACGGAGTTTGCGGGAAGTCTGTTTTCGTTTCCAAGGATTTGGGGGTGGGAAGAAGAGCTCTGCTCCTGGGAAGGTGGCTGGACAACAGCCTCATCCTTCAGCAGTTCCTTGGCCAGTTTCTGAAATGGAGCCAAGGCTGGTTGTCTTGAAGGATCAGAGAATCGCCCAACTGAGACTGGCGGGCAATCAAGTCTTCATTGCCCTGACTCTTCCCCATCCATCTTGTGTTGGCTGACTCTTCACTTTCAAGATTGGCAGCGTGCACCTGTGTGCCTCCTCCAGCTCCTCTGGGGCGCATAGGGAGCAGTCCAAAGTCTGCTCCTTCAGCAGGAACTGAAGCGATGCCTGCAGCATCCTGGAAGGGTGGGAACGCATTCCATCGGGGGAGCCTCCTGTGGGCGGGAGCCTCAGGATGCCTGCTGGAGTGCCCTAAGCATCTGTTGGACTCGAGATGACAGGTATTGCTTCAGATGCCAGGGTGGCAGAGCACATGTGGGAAAAGATTTATAAACCAAAGCAGCATTTCTTGCACCCACCTGCTCCTCTTCTCCCATGCAGTGGTGATGCCCTTCAATAAACTTCAAAAAGGGTTAGAGTTTGTTCGCTGCATGACGCCAGCCTTTTTATGATGTTAAGATTTTGACTGTACTGACCTTTTGAGGCTTTAAGACCTTACTGAGCGTGTGACAGCAGCCACCTGAATTTTTGTGCGGTTTTGTCTTTCTCCCTTAACACCTGTGCCCAGGGTTTGATTAAGGAAGCCTGTAGGGAGTGAGAACTCCACCTGTTATGTGACCAGGATGTTCTTTAATAGTGATGCCTTCTTTCATCATCACCTCACCACCTCCTTGGCCTCACCTGACCTTACAACCGCTGGCCAGGCCTCCCTTAGGACCAGCCCGGTAAGCCCCACCTAGGTGTACCCCCACTAACAAGGGAGCTGGTATCAGGTCCCCATGCTGCAGAGGTGCCAATACCTAAAACTCTGTAACAGAAGAAGAATTGTTGTAGCCTAAGACTGTCCAAAGGTTGATGGCTGTGTGTGGATCTCCAGATGGAGGGGGCCAGTACTAGAGATGGGGAGGGCCCAGTGTCGGGGGCTAAGGCCCAGCTTCAGGGCCGGCCTTCCCTCCAGATCCTCCTCCCGGGACCTTGGGGTGGAAGAAGGCGAACCGTCTGGAGCGTGAAACCCTGAACTGTGAATGGGCTTGTGAGGATGTTGGCTTGGTCTAAAGCACCAGATGCATGATGATGAGGGCATGAGAATGCTTGTAAAGCTTGTCAGTGTTCAGGCATTGTATGATCAAAAAGAAGAGAAATTTGAGAAAGTCCAGCTGAATTGTTAGGGCCTGGCAGCTTCTGTCGGGCTGCCTAGAAGCTGTACCTGCACTGGCAGCCAGGTGCTTCCTAGCTGCTGGCCAGGGTCACCTGTCAGAGGCAGGGCACCTTGGCGAGGCAGCACACGACGACTTGGTGGGCCCCATTTGGAGAAACTCCCGCAAGTCGCATCGCACATGGTCAGGCTGTTGCAAGGTCTGAGTGCCAGATGCCAGAAGATGGGGCTGAGTCATTAACGTTGAGATTGACCCAGGGTTCCAAGCGGGCGATGTAGCCAGGGAGCACCTGGGGGTGTGAGCGTGCAGTGCCTCACCCGAAATACAAAGGTCCCCTGGGTTCCACCCCATGAATTTTCTGTCTCAATTAACGTGGGGCCTGATAAGCACCAGGCATTGTGCTGGGGTTTTATGGAGAGGGCCTTAGGCAGGCAGACTCCTGAAGAAGATGATATCTAAGCAGATAATGAGGTGTGGATACTTTAAAGCCAGAGCGCAGAACTTCTGAAGCTAGAAAAGTTGGAGAAAGCTACAAAGCTTTTAACTGGGTCTTCGGAGAGGGCGTTTGGGGCAGAGGGACAGCACCTTGCAGGGCCAGAGCATAAGGAGAGTGAATGTGTGAAAGGTGGTGGGAAGCTTCTGTGGTGAGGATGGGCATTTGGTGGAGAGGAGGAAGGGGCAGAATGGGAGGGAGGGGCTGCTCTGCCGCCTGGGCCCCACGACATTTGAAGGTGTCTCCTGACCATAAAAAAAAGGTTTTGAAGGAGAATGCCTTCAGGGTTCCTGCCAACTCTGAGATCTTGAGGATCTTTTCACCAAGGAGGTCTGGATGGAATCATCAAGAATAGAGAAGGTGGACTGATGGCACCGTTGAGTGGACTCAGGAAGCACAGTGGGCCTGAGTGAGAACTGGCCTAGGTGGCACTGCGGGTGAGTCCACAGCAGGGTCCTGTGCAGAGTCCTGAGTGGGTCTGGGCAGGAATTGCACAGTAGCTGCACCAGTCCTTGGGACTGTAGAATTGAGAACTGCTACACTTGGGGCTGGGGGGTCGGGGGAAGGAATCAAAAAACAAATTGAATTAAAGTAACCAGGTAACTTCTAATGTTAAAAAAAAAAAAAAGGCACAAACTTCCTCTCTTAATCCCTTTGAAAGCTTCCAAAACCTGTTGAGCAACCAAAGAGGACATCTAGGGAACAGCCAGCCTGCACCCCCAGCACTGCAAGAACTGCCTTTCTTACTACTGCTCCTCTCCCCCAGCCAACACTCTGCCGCGTCTTTTTCCTTGTTTTTAGAAACGCTTTCTCCTGCCCCTTTGTTAGTTTCTCTCTTTTAAAATAAGTTCTTGGCCTTGTGCAGTGGTGCACTTTGGGTGTACCCCCAGCACTTTCGGAGACCAAGGTGGGGGGATCACTGAAGCCAGGAATTTGAGATCACTGGGCAACATAGTGAGACCTCATCTCTACCAGAAATTATTTTAAATAAATTTTTAACATAAACATAAATGAACAGAAAAAGTTATCAGACTATGATTTCAGTAAGGGGTGAGGTGGATCCCGTGTGACTCTGTCCCGGCCTTGCCTTATGCCTCCTCTCCAGCAGACTGTGATTTCTGTAAGAGGTGAGGTGGATCCCGTGTAACTCCATTCCAGCCTCGCCTCATGCTTGTTCTCCATCAGTCTAAAGTGGGAGCTGCAATGTCATTTTCTTTTGTCTAGAAAAACAAAATGTTCCTACTACTGTTGGCAGTGGAACCGACATTTTAGCTTATCTTTTAGACAAGACCAAGATCTCAGGTGCCTTCTGCATTTTTCAATCCAGGGAGCCCGGTCTCTTGGAAGTGGCCAGTGGCACTGAGAAAGTAAACCCTGTACACGTCCAGCCTCTCTGTGCTTTGTATATTTCTACCCAGATACTAACAGCAGGACTCAGTATTCTACCCAGATACTAACAGCAAGATTGTCACTGAGTCCACCTGAGGGAAATCAGTTTTAGGAGAGGAAGCCATTTCCTTTGGGAACTTAGTGAGTTTTCTTAATGCCAAGCACATTAAGCCTTACGTTGCCACACTCCTGAATGGTTTGGATCTCCTGGCTCCCCATGGCTGCTCTCTCCACCCATGATGGGGATTGAGCCTCCAGGCCTCCTGCTCCAGGCTTCTCCGGCCCCAGCACCTGCACTGTGTTCTTTCCACCCAGAATGCCCCTTCCTCCCCTTCAGCTTATCTCTTCTCATTCTTCAGAGCCCAGCCCAGCTGTCACTAAAAGAAATGCGCGTTCCCAGTCTTGCTCACCACCACAGATACCCTTGTTCAGACCTCTCAGTGCACTGAATTATACGCTTAAAAATGATTAAAACAGTAAATTATATTTATGTATATTTTACCCATACACACACAAAATTCTTCTTGCATCTCTCGTTCTTCCTTTTTAGCACTTACCAGGTTGTAGATAAATAATTGTATAGGTTGGTATCTGTCTCCTTCCTCTGTAAGCTCAGTGTCGGCAGGGGGCGTGGGGGGCCCTCACCTGCCTACTCTCTGCCATGATCAATGTGGTAATAGGGCATAGCAGGCACCTGAAGATGACTTGCTGAATGAATAATGAATTAGACAGCAGATGACAAGGCCACAGTTTCAGTCTTTCCTGAGTCATTCCTGTCTCGTGCCTCTGGCGTTTCTCCCTACTCAGCCTTCCAAGGTTATCCGGTAAATACTTTTGGACTGGCTGAAGACCTTGCACTTAATGTCACATTAATATTCTCAAAGGCTTTATTGTACACTCTTAAGGTTCTTTTATATGTGGACTGGTGCCACTGACCGTGACCCACTCTGCTGCGTGCCCATCCTCACAGGGCAGCAGGTGCCCTCATCGTGTGGGTGTCTGCATGGTTTCTGGATGGTTCCAGGGGTCCCCTCATAATTTCAGTTCAGAGATGGGCAAGAGTTTGCCAGTTTGCCAGTTTTGTCTATTACTAGTTCTTCTCAAAGTGACTCTCCTCTTTTTCTAGAAACAAAAAGTATAGTGCAAATGAGGAATGGAAGGAAGACATTCATTGGTTCATTCTGCAGTCATTTACTGAATGCTGATGAAGTGATAGTCAATGAGAATTCACAGATGGGTTGGACAGAGGTGCTACCCTTAAAGCGCTCAGCTCTGCTTCTGTTATTGATTGTATTTTATTTCTATTGATTGTATTTCTCTTGATTCTATTTGTATTGATTGTATTTCTATTCCCATAGTTTCTCTATAATTAAGGTGTGCTCCAGGAAGGGTACTTCTGTTTCCTTGTGGGTGTTCATGTGATCATGGAGACATGGTTTGGAAGGATAAATGTGCTCTGCCTTGCTGTTTTGACAGTGAAGAATGGAAAACAGGGAGACAGACAGCGAGGCCACGGCTGGATCGGCCATGGCGTTCAGACAGGATTTAGATGGCATCTCCTGTTCTAACTAAAATGTTGAGCTGAGGTCAGAGCCATGGACAGGAAAGTGACTGCATGAGCTTTTTGAAACTGGCTGGCCATTTGAGCTGAGACAGAGCTCACTTACGGTGCTTCTGTGTGGGTGGCCTCACCGGGGGCTGTCCCAGAGGCCACAGGTCAAGCGTCTACTTGGTGCCTTCCACTAGAGGAATGTCCCTGGGTAAAATGGGCCCAAGAGGACCAAGTCTGAGGTGCGAGCCTTGTGGCTATGCCTCTGCCCTCTGATCTGTGCATTTGGGAGTCATTGGTCCTGGACCCCCGAGAAGTGCGTGAGGCCTTTGAGCTGCAGGGCCGAGTCCTCAGGGCCCCCACCTGCCAGCACCACCCTCACGTCTGTCCTCTCCTCAGGTTCCTCCTGATGATGGGCGTGCTCTTCTGCTGCGGAGCCGGCTTCTTCATCCGGAGGCGCATGTACCCCCCACCGCTGATTGAGGAGCCAGCCTTCAATGTGTCCTACACCAGGCAGCCCCCAAATCTCGGCCCAGGTCAGCCAGCCCTGTCCTTGTCTCTCCTCCCCGCAGTGTGTGTCCTCTGCCAACATTTATAAAGTGTACTGCTGCAGAATGTGCCAGAAGAGAGAGCTCAGGTGTGTTACTCATTTTTTTAGTTCTGATGACCAGCTCCATTATGCATTTGTGCAGATAACAAACGTAAGATATATCGCACACCCGTCGCCTCATATTCTTACAGTTATCAGTGTGCCACATATGCACGTGATGTGATGCAGTTTGTATAAGCATATTATTTGCTCTCTGCCTTTTTCCTTAAACATTATTTCACATATAAATTTCTGTGTAGGAGCGGTAATACCCCTGCCATTCTTAATGCTTGTGGACTAGATATTATGTTACTAAACGGTAATTTGCTTATTTTATTATTGCTGATAATTTGTTTTGTTTTCTCATGTTTTGCCTTTTATTCATGCATTCAACAAGTATTCATTGTGCGGTTACTAGTATTCCAGATACTTACAAAGACTGTAGCAATAGATGTTTTTGTATAGGTCACATTTTAGTCTATTTAGTGCATATCACCCAAAGTGACATCCCAGGGTCAAAATGAATTAGCTGTTTCTTAATTCTTGTAAAACATTGCCTTAGCCATCTAAAACTCCTACATACTGTGGTGGGTGGTGTGGACTCCCTCAGGGCACAGGCCAGGGAGCTCTCTGATGACAGCGGGGAGCCAAGGGTCCTGGAGGGCTGGGCTGGCTCCGCTCATCAGAGCACTGGTCTTCTGGCCAGGTGTAGATTGAGGCTGGGCAGAGGGGCGTTGCTGGTGTCTGTGCCGCCCTGCTCCCAGCCACAGTTTCCACCTGGGAGCCTGGGGATGGGACTCTCTATTGATTGCACACTGTGGATAGGTGGTCAGTTCTAGGAGCAGTGGTTGCCTTCGCTTTTACAAAGTTTCAATTAAGAAAAATAAGTCCTAGAGATCTGTTGTACAGTGTAGGACCTACAATTAATACAACTATAATGTATAATTAAAATTTTGCTAAGAGGGTAGGTCTTACGCTAAATGTTCTTATGACATGAAAGTAACAACAAGAAGAGCAGAGAAAGCTTTTGTAGGTGATAGAGATGTTTATGGAATAGAGTGCGGCGATGGTTTTCTGGATGTGCCCCTGTCTTTAAACTCATCAGGTTGTAGTCTTAAACACGCACAACTTTTTGTCTGTCAATCAGACATCAATAAAGTGGTTTTTAAATGGGAGAGAAGTAGAGGGATTGAATATAAAAGGAGAAAATTATCTTCTCTCTTGTTTTCCTGAGAGAACAGGCTCTTATCAAGATGCAAAGTCATTTGCGTATTTGTTCTTTTACAGCTTTCTTCCACCAGATACTCCACAGGGTTTTCCTTTCAGAAAGAATTTTCTTTATTTTAAAAAATGTTGCTCAGAAAAATATAAAATGTATTTTCCACAGCAGTTCACTGGGAGCTGTGCCTTAAACTTTCAGCCAGGTTAGTACTATTTTGAATCCATAAGTGGATTTTAGTCTTTGATATTTGGAAATATTTGAATCGTTTCAGATTTGTGCTGTATCAGAGGTTAAAGTGCAAATGTCTGGTAAAATGAGAGACGTAAGCTGTCACTCACTGGGTCTCATCTGGATCAGTCAGAGAGGTTTTAGTGCAGGGAGGAGCAGCCCCTGCCCCACTTGGCATGGGAGGCCCCACAGCCCCCAGTGCAGAAGGCTACATGTCCCTGGTCTGTGGTCCTCAGAGTCTACTGCTCATGTGAACTGGGGCTCTTGTGAGTAGGTGAGGTGCTGAGACTGTGCCTGCAGCTGCATAATTCTTTTGAACCCTGGCATGCCAGGGTTTCGAGAGGAGAATGCATCCCTATGTGCACTCCTTTCTGGCCCCATCCCTCTGTTCTGCAGAACCCTGCACCCTGTCTACCCCCACCCCATCTGTCTGGGAGAATCTCCAACAACCAGGCCGTTAGATCTGCCACATCCCTTATCTCACCCTGGTGCAGTGCCTGTTGGCCACTGGTCTCCGCCAGCTCCTCTGTCTTCCACTTGGCTATCAGTAGGGTCTTAAAAAACAAAACAGAAGCACATTGGCCGTGCTGTTTTTCTGCGGCAGGGTCTCTGCCAGCTCACCTGGCTCACAGTGTTAAGTCCAGAGTCCCTAGCTGAGGACCGAGGACACGTTCACAGCTTCCTCAGACCCGTCCCCACTACTCTGTGTCCAGTTTGAGTGACCTCCTCTCTCTAGTCCTGCATCGCACTGAGGCCTGCACACACCCTCCATCTGCCTGGAAAATGCCTTCCTCCAAGGTGCACCTTCCTCCAAAGTGCTGCTCTGTGTTGCGCCCATAGTGAAGTTGTCTCTGGCTGCTTCACATCCTCCACTTTCTCCCTGGGTGCCCTGCCAGGGGCTTTACCAGCTTTAATCCTCCACGTTTACACTGGGCTCTCCACGGGGCTGTGTACAGGACTCATGGTCTCAGGCACCAAGTAGATGCCTGTCTGGCCCTCGTCCTCAGGCTGGGTGAACTGCAGGAGCTCCCAGGTTTGCAGCCTGGTAAACCAGGGTCGCGATGCATCACAACCACAGTCACAGCCTGGAGCACAGACCTGCCTGAATTGCTGTCTTGGTCCATATTTACTGCACACCTGCTGAGGCGCCTGCAGGAGCTCAGAACACCGCACAGCCTGGACGCCCGCCCTCAGTCACCGCTGCACGCATAGCTCCAGCACCCGTGTGAGCTTTGGCACAAACAGCTCTATACTGAGTGACCATCATGAGTGCAAGGGAGGGAAAGTCGAGAATGCTAGGAAACCGTGTAGGTAGGAGACTCCATCTGGTGCACAACTCCAGGAAGGCTTCCCACAGAAGAGCCATTTGGATTAAGAATAATTAAGCCCCCAGCTCCCTAGAGGGAGCGGCTGCTGGTCCCAGCGCATCTTCTCTGACCAAAATGTAGACTTGGTTTGCCATCGCTTTTTCATTTTACACTTCTTGCAGGCCTGCAGTGGTGTGGCTGATCCCAGGATATCCAGACTGTCATATGAAAGTAGGCTCCCAGGGCTCCCAGGAGTGTACAGTTTCCATCATTTCCCTGCCAGGTCCAGGGCCGGATCATTTGTTAACAGTGCTGAGCTTGGGAAGAATTCAGCTGCTTCCTAGACAGAGTAATAGTGAACACAAGAATGGGGTCAGCAGGGTCCTGCCTGCTGTTGGTCTGGACACCCACCTCCCCTGAGGGTGGCATCACCCTGCTGCAGCTGTCTGCTCAGATCCCGTACTATGTGTGGCGTGGGCCCTGGGAGCGTGGGGACTGAGGAGGGCCACACAGAGGTTGGCAGTCCAGGGAGAGAGAGGAGCCGAGGGATCCCAATGTCCCATGTGGTCCACAGGGTAAATGTCATGCCCGAGGCTGCCCGGGCAGTGCCAAGGTGTGCAGGCATCTGCACAAAGCAGGGTGGGTGTTAGTGAATTTTCGGCAGAGCCTCATTTCTCCTCTGCTGGTCTGAGAGGGGAAGTGGGTTTAGGCATGGGATGCCTGTTAACGAAGATGAAAAAGCAGAGGGATTTAGAGGACCCAGACTCATCCACTGTGTTAGGGGAGGGCAGTGGCTCACACTCTGGGGTGCAGGGGGGCTCGCGAGGCACTCCTGCTAGGACAAGCATCACTGATGAGCATGGGAAAGCAGAGAATCTGTGCATTGCAGAGGCTCCTGGTCGGGGAGGGGAGGAAATTGGCAGCATCGTGGTCCTGGGGGTTGGTGTGGGTTGGGGCAGGACTCTGAACGTGGTGGAAAGGGGCTGGCAAAGTCAGCATGAGGCTGAGGTTCAGAGGTGGGGCTCCAAGGCCAGCCCAGGAACCAGGACCCAAAGGCTGCAGCTGCTGGCCGCAGGGCTCAGGGCCTGGCCGGATTGTGCAGAGGCTGAAAAGTGGGAGGAGTGTGGAGTAGCTGTGATTTGAGGAAGAGGCCCTGGTCAGGGAGTTAAGAGGCCTGAGGTCTGTGAGACCCGGTGTAGGCCACGGTCCCTTCTAAACCTCAGCACCTTAACTGCAAAATGAAACGGATTGCAGAAAAGCACTTCTCATTCTATGTAATCTATGCATATAGTATCAGCCAAGATGCAGCAGTAGCAGAAAGTCAGAGCTCCTTAAATGCCCAACCCCAAATCCTTCCCCATCAGGATGCTGGCAGGGTCCCACCTACATGTTCTCCTAGGTAGAGAGGAAAAATTGTCTTCATTCGTTTATTCACTTCATTCGTTCATTCACTCTGAAAACGTGAGCTAATTAGCTCCAGCCACTGTGTTCACACAGGTGGAGGGTGTGGGTGAGAATCCTCCCTGCTCTTTAGAAACTGTAGGGTGGAGAAAATGGAAAAGCCTAGGCTGAGGCAGCACTGGAGGCCTGGGGGAAGGAGGGGCTGGCTGGCAGGAGGTGGCCTCAGCTGAGTGTGGTGCCCCTGTGATTGAATGTGGCAAGTGGATAGTTAAGGGAGCTCCAAAGGAAACAATGATTGAATTATGGTCCATCTTCTTTGTGGAATATTATGTGGCCACTAAAGATCATAGTCAAGATGACAGTTTGCTGGTACGGCAAGACCATCAAGGTGCAGTTAGGGAAGAGAGCATTGGATAATGTTTTTTGTGAAATGGTCATGAGGCTAGCCAGGCCCAGTGACAAACACCTGTAGTCCCAGCCACTCAGGTGAGGTGAGAGGATGGGCTGAGGCCAAGAGCTCAAGACTGTAGTGATTATGCCTGTGAGTAGCCATTGTCCTCCAGCCTGGGCAACATAGCTTGACCCTGCCTCTAAAAAATGGTCCTGAGTTCCACTAGAGAATCCCACAGATGCATAGAGATTGCAGAGGACAGTCAACAATGAAATCTGTGGTGTTAATGTGATTTAAGTTTTCTTTTAAAATGATTTCCTTAATGTGACTGAGGTAGATGGAGTTTTCCCATTGACAGATAGTTTTCTTCCTTTCCAGCAGCCATTTGTGGTGAGTTC